TTCGTTTTTAGAAGGCAAGCTATTTTTGTTAGTCTTGGCGCATTTTCTTGCAGGAAGAAGATGTTGATGTTAGGCCTGCAATAAAAAGCGAGGCTCCATTTACTCACAAAGTGAATATGAAAGCAAGATTTGAACAAATGGCTAAGGCAAGAGAAGAAGAAGAACAAAGAAGAATTGAAGAACAAAAGTTACTACGTATGCAGTTTGAACAAAGGGAAATTGATGCAGCACTACAAAAGGTACCAGGCTTACATATCCTTTATTTTCCAAAGATGCCCTCTTAAAACCCATAATTAGGTGGGTTAAAAAATGTTTTAATAGCTTTCTTTCAAGTCACTATAATCTATTTTTTGAGATGGAGTTTCACTCTTGTTGCCCAGGCTGGAGTGCAATGGTGCACTCTCAGCTCACCACAACCTCTGCCTCCTGGGTTCAAGCGATTCTCCTGCCTCAGCCTCCCGAGTAGCTGGGATTACAGGCACGAAACACCACAACCGATTAATTTTGTACTTTTTAGTAGAGACAGGGTTTCTCCATGTTGGTCAGTCTGATGTTGAACTCCTGACCTTGGGTGATCTGCCCACCTCCGTCTCCCAAAGTGCTGGGATTATAGGCGTGAGCCACTGCGCTGGGCCTGGAATATATTAAGTACACTTTGTAGTAGGCATACTTGTATGTTCTTTACTTAAAAAAAATTTTACTTCAAAATTCTGTTACTAAATCGCTGTAAATACTGTATTATAAATGCCAACCTGAATACATTTATTTTAACATAGAAAAGAGAAGAGGAGGAGGAGGAAGAAAATGGCATCATGAATGGCTCCACTACTGAAGATGAAGAGCAAACCAGAACAGGAGCTCCATGGTTCAAGAAACCTCTTAAAAACACATCAGTTGTAGACAGTGAGCCAGTCAGATTTACAGTTAAAGTAACAGGAGAACCGAAACCAGAAATTACATGGTGGTTTGAAGGAGAAATATTGCAGGATGGAGAAGACTATCAATATATTGAAAGGGGAGAAACTTACTGCCTTTACTTACCAGAAACTTTCCCAGAAGATGGAGGAGAGTATATGTGTAAAGCAGTCAACAATAAAGGCTCTGCAGCTAGTACCTGTATTCTTACCATTGAAAGTAAGAATTAATTACTTTTTATCTTTTATTCTATTAATTTTTTTTTCCTTAAAATCACTTTTCTTCTTCTTTTTTTTTAGCTGATGACTACTAGCTCCCCTCCCCTCTTCCTGGAACTTTCTCTTTCACTCCAGCTTTCTTATTACATCCATCTTTTCTGTGGCGGGGCCAAAAAAGGAAACCAGGAGTGCCATTATGTTGACTTCTTACTCCTTTACATAAGTCTTCAAAACACAGCTCATCTAAAGAATGCCGCCTTCTTTTCCACACGAACATCAGATTTATCACCTATTATGCAGTAACAGTCGATAAAATGTACTTAATTGTGGGGTGGGAAATTACTCAATTATTCTATCAGAACCTATTTATAAAGGCTGTGTATTTCCCATAGATGTTTACAACAACTATGTTAAAAAAAAAAAAAAAAAAACCTATGTAAAATATATTATTTTGCATGAATGTCATGAGCCCTTTACACCTAAAATTAGGTTGAAATAGCTAATTAATTTGGAACCTATCAATTTGAGTGGGCTTTTTTTTTTAGTAGTATATCATTTTGGTTGTTGTAGTTTCAAAGTCTTTCTGAGGCAGATATACTGGGATTGGAATGGTGGGGAGGAGTGATACTCCTTTCACAGGAAAGTTGGAGCAGAGAGAAAAATAATAATTAAAGGACTTTTAAGAAACACTTGCCTATACAGTGTTGAGTGTTGAGGATATTACACGTTATTTTTCAAACATATGTAATATATAAAGCAAATTTATGCTGTGATCTTGCCTGAACAGATTATATTTTAATGAAAAAACTTTGTATTAATAGTTCATACAAGAGAAAACACTTTCAGCATAGTCCAGCATTTCAAGATCTAAGTGTGTTAGATTTAAGGAAAAAGTGGCACAATCTTCAATTTAAAATTCTAGTCTTTAAAACAAGTTTGTAAATAATTAGCTATTATGTTCTATTAAGTTGTTTTATATTTTAATTTTCTGGAATACAATTTTATTTTACAATGTGAACTCAAATAAAGTAACTTCTGTATTTAAAAAAGTCTTATTTCTGTATTTTAAGACTTGTGCAACCAGATGTTACCCCTTTATCATTAAAACTTTTTTTTTTTTTTTTTTTTTTTTTTTTTAAGACAGTTTCTTGCTCTGTCACCAGAGCTGGAGTGCAGTGGTACAATCTCAGCTCACTGCAATCTCCGCCTCCCGAGTAGCTGCAACTACAGGCGTGCACCACCACGTCCAGCTAATTTTCAGTATTTTTAGTAGAGACAGGGGTTTCACCATGCATTAAAACTTTTAAAAATCGTCTTTTCTCACAGTAAACATTAAAAAAACCCCAGTCAACTAGAAAATTTTACCAATATATGTACAAAAAACACAAAGCACTCCCTTATAATATTCATCAATGTACATTTATTTATTGAGGAAACCATAATACAAAATTACAGCAATGTGACCTTTTACATACAATGTCATAAAAGCAAACTCTAAACCACAGTTTGTAAAGTATTCAATTTACCTCAAGTCCAAGCTGCATCTCCCTAAGACACTGTTCCCATCACAGTAGCCATTTTAAGCCAATCTTCTTTTTACACACGGGTAGTTTCTGTAGAGAACATTTTTCTCAGGACGAAAATGCATCGAGCATGCATAAGAAAAAATATATATATATGTGCAAATACATTTAAGAGTTTTTTTCTATAGGGGTATCACTGAAGAAAATAAAACCCTGGGATTCATTTGCTTATTAAAAGCACCAATTAAAAAAATCCCTCAAAAGTTTATATTGTGGCAAGAAAAATGAAGTCACTAACTCAACAAAAAATAAGGTTATTTTCAGAGCCAAAATTATCTTTAATTAGGTATTGTTAAAATGCATTTTAAAATGAGGCAGAATTTGCAGAAAATAAAAACAAGACATCCTCACTGACTAGTAACCTCTACATCATTATTCTACACAACAGATAACTTTCTAAGTAGAGCTGATTTTACTGGCAGAGTAATCAAACAAATAAAATGCTATCACTTCTGAATTACTCCCCTTTCCCTCTCTGAAGGTACTCTGCTATTCCTACCCAACCCCACCCTTATGAATTAACTAACAAGATAATTTGTTTAAAGATATATTTTACAATGTTTAGAAACAACTAGTATCAAATTACTAGTTTTAGTATTAAAAGCATTTTTGATATAAAAAAATAAAACTATACTTTTCATTTCTAAAAGAAACATCAAACCATAGAATTCTAAGTATCACCACACTAAGCTGTCTTAAAAAAATTAAAAACATTGTCAAATTTTGTTTAAGTGTTAAATAAGTCAGTTCAATTTCAGTCTAAACTAAACATTGTTTCTAACACTAATATCCAATGCATTCAAATCAACTGGCTCACCTTTTCTGCTTTCCATTTATTTCAAACTTAAGATCAGCGTCTTTTACAATAATGCTTATAGTATCAGTGAAGGCTTATGGTAATGAATAAAAGAATTCTTATGAGACAGAAACAATGCCCCAATATCTATTATCATTCATCTATCTGTATTTTTTATATAAAAATGCAATCTACGACTAACCAAACTCAACAGGCTCCTAAGTTTCAATGAGCCCCTTTAATTATCAATCTTATATACCTATCATTGACTATTAAAACATACATACACATAAATGTGTAGTAACTATGTAACTTAAGAAATTTAACAGTTCATGGAACATTTAAGATCAAGTGAATAGCACTTTAAAATGAAAAGTGATCAAAAGCAGGTACATTACACCCTATACCATATGTATGGGAATACATTTCATATTTCTCAATTATGATTTGCCAATTTTACCTTCTACATTGAGCCCTTCTATGGTCCATGCTCATCGGCTCACCAATGGCATACACTCAAAGGATTCCTCTTTATGGGTAACTATCTCAGGACCTGATTTTATGAGCTATGATTTGGTGCTTGCAGCATCTTCAGCACTGTGTGTGAAAATGAAGGCAGTATTTTTGAATATTTTTCTTTGTTGCAGAGATAAGCAGGAGTTTTAAAAGGATCAGCACATTTTAGAAATAGAATAAACAAAACTGATAAGATGCTGCTTTCATACATTCATCTTAACTCAAAATATGTACCAGTTAAAATCATCTATAAAAACACACAAACATTTTAAACTGGCAAAAAAATTAAATTAACGCAGCGTCAGTTATTAAAATATTATTAAATCAGAAAAATACTGGTTGCTACAGATTATGAAAGGTTATTTGCTATACAGTTAACATTTCACTGATGCACATGCCTTTTATCAAAACATACTGCCTTATAACTTTTTCCTTTTTCAGCATATAACTTTTGTCTAAGAAAAAAAACCATAATAAAATTCTAACCCATAATATCCTTACTGAATTATTATAGTTTAAGAAAAAAAAAATTAAGAAATTATAGCTTTGGAGGGCAAAGAAATTTCCTGTCAATCATATAACAGATTGTGAAGGCTGTTGAAGTTTCTAAACAAGTGATTTTCTAAATCTTGAAAACTGTGTAATTGTCCTTTCTTAATCTTAACACTTCTATATTTGGGAAAAAAATACAAAAAGATTTGGATGTAGTTCAATTACTGCAGCAATCTACTCATCATTTTCTTGTTTTAATTAAAAAAAAAAAAAAAAAAAAAGTAAAATAAAAAACATTACCCAGAAATGTAAACAGTTGCTTTAACAACTTACAGACTTTCCACTAAGATGGTAGCATAAAATAACAAAATACATTTTGGGGAAGCAGTAGCAGATTGCCTTTGAATACACAACCACAAAAACCTCACAGGGACAACATTAATGTACTGAAATATTTATTTATATATGTCCTTAGGTTGTGCTTACCTGGTGCTTTTTGCAGCAGAACCTAAGGTGGAAGGTCTGGGAAGGCACTGTGAAGTATAAATAATTGCACTGTTTGCAATTAATAAAGATTTTAAACCTTAAATGAATAAAAGTCAACAGCCTCCAATTTGTGAGTTATGATACTGAATTCAACTGAACTACTTCTTCAGTTCAATTAATAAATGCACCACTTTCCTAAAAGGTCATCTATAAAACAGTATCATGCAAAATACTGCAATTGTTCACATCAATACCCTACTCTTAAAGATAATAGATAGCTAACTCCTTAACTATTAAACTTCAAACCAGAACTAAATATCCCAATCTAAATAAGGGTAAGGGAAATCACTCTAGGTCATATAAAACAATCAAAAACATTTCAAATATCTACAATGAACGGTACACTGTACTGCTATTTCCATTCTGTAGGTAATCTCAACATTTATGTCCTTGTATTTCTTCCTTTAAAGTATATTTGAAACAACAAATGGTGCTCCCCACCAATGACAAAATACATACTTATGAAATGTGTTAAAATTGCTACATTGCTCATTATTTGCAAACTGAAATCTGTCTGATACATTTCAAGATTTTCATATTAAATATAGAAGATATGCATATTTTACACTGAAAAACAATATTGTAGGAGCACCAGTGAATAATACTATTCAACTTTGTTAAGTATCAGTTTTCTTTAGCTATAGCTAAAGCACATTAAAAAAAAAAATACTTACCCATTAAGCTCACTTTAAAAAAAAATACAGAACTATGTATTATTCTATGTTAAATTAAGAAGCAGTTATGGTTTTCCAAGATATCAGCACTGTATTCCAACATAATATTCACACAAAGTATGGCATTTGCATTATGTGGAACATTGACAAAAAGATACTGTTGCAGTTCATCAATTTGTCATTCTGATGTACTTACAGTGCAATGCTCCTTGAAGGAACACAATCAAGGATGATACACAGCACAGTCCTCCTCACCCCTACAGAGCTAGTTCTATACTGGCTGGATCAAACCTGCACTTCAACAGACAATGGCAAGACAGACTGTATTTGCATGTAGTCTAATATATTAATATGCAAAGAGCCAACAAATATGCAAAGAGTAAAACAATGGATTTCAACAAAATATCAGAACTTCAGCATGAGTGTTAAAGGAGTAATAAAATGATTTCAAGTACATAAAAAAATTAAGTTGATTCAATGATTGGACTTGTGCATTTACAAAACAAAGCTTATCTATACTGCATAAAGAAAAAAAAAAGCTTGAACGTTTCCATACCCCATTTATGTTTCAATGGCAGATGCACTGTAGCTATACTTTTTGCACACTATTCACTTTTCTAGCCTAAATTTAGAAAGAAACACACTAATATTATATACATTGAAAGAGTTGCTTTACATGGAAAAAAAAACTGTTCTTATTAGACTACTCATATTCACTATCTGTAAACTGTTTAAAATTAGTTATGCCGAAACAGTCTTGGAAATCAAGTATTACCAAATTAAGAACAGAAAGGTTAACTGTTATAGCAGCAGTACAGGTCTGAAACAGTGGTCATGTATAAAAGGAAATTTCACTGTTAATGCAATGGAAGTATGCCAAAAGATCATTGTACACACATGCAGTTTTTAATCAAACAGAAGGAAAAAAAATGAAGATATCAGGATTACTTGTGCTGAAAGAGCCAAATACAATAAATGGAAAGATCTTCCAATCTACCACTATACTGCAAGGGGGGAAAAACATGCCAGTGTTTAAAAACTCAATATTTCATGGGGAAAGCTTATATATTTGTGTATATGTATCTTAATTTATCATTGCTAAGAAATTATGAATCCTTTAAATACCCACATATCCAACTTACCGACACAGGAGGTTTCATATCATTTATTGTAAAGCACAAAACAGGCATTTTAAAAGTGAAAGTATACATTGAAAAAGTACATTTATATCACAAAGCATCAACCACATAATAATTGCAAATACATTTGCTGGAATGTGTACATCTACACTAAATACTAAAAACAAACCAATTTTCATTTCTACACAGAAATATTAACCTCCTATCAGTAGTGATAGATATTTTGTACATTTTCAAAAAAAAAAAAAAAAAAAAAAAAACACTATTTTAAACCAAAAACAAAATTAAGATCTTCATCAAGTCGTCTGCATCCATATATTTAACAAAGGTTTTTTTCCCCCACACAATGAAGCAAATACTGTATTGTCCACTTCTTATTATTGGCCCTGTGCAGAAGAGATACATAAGAAATACACAAAAAGTTAAAGAAAATCCTTGAAATGGAGCTAATTCAGGAGTGAATCCTTTAAGAAAGAAAAACTGGTTAATATAAATGGTGGTGGCTTCTTGAATGATTTGCAAATCCCTGGGGGAAGAAAATTTATTTTTAAAATCAAAGGCATTGTAGTAATATTCAGCACTCAGATGCCGGAAAGCATTATTTTAAAAAACCCAAATAATACACCATAGTACTTCAATTCATTTAGAGAGTTACACTTTGCCAGATAAAAATTTAAAAGGCAAACATATTCCCAACAGACAAACAGTAAACATGCAAAAAACATGACTGAAGTAGGAATCAACAAATTAGCAATTGTATTATACCTGAGGTGCTGGAGGATGCTGTGGCATTCCCTGGGGACTTGTCTGGGCATAGTAGGCTGCTTGTTGTCTATAATACTCAGCCCAAGCTGCACTATAATCTGGCTGACCGCCTGGAGGAGCCCCAGTTGGAGCAGGAACTGCTTGACCTTCGAAAAAAAAAAGAACTTTGTTGCTGTAACCACAATTAAAAGCCCAAAATAATCTCATTTCTAATAAAAACAATACCTTGCTTCTTGTAATATTCCTCCCAAGCCTTTGAATAATCTTGTGTCTGCCCTTGCTGACCTAAAAAAAACCCCCTAAATTTTAATACAAAATTGCATCCACTGTAAGTACAGGTTATAAGACAAAACCACAGAGAGTCAGAATTGCTCCTGTTTTATTTAAAATATTCATTAGTAGTGTCAGGAAACTACTCTGCCAAAAAAACAAAAAACAAAAAACCTCTTTCTTTTTGCCTTATAATTAATCATAACTTTTAGTTAGTTCTACAGCATCATTATTAGTAAAAAACAAAATCAACCCCAAATCCACACTGCTTTAGCTAAGGAAGGTAAAAAATTTAGACATAATCTTGATTCAATTCTAGAATTACAAAAAGAACATTTTTGGGAAAAAAAAAAAAGCCCATTTATTATGGCAATGATTTAAAGACTTTATTATTTTAAGACCTAGCCAAGACTTTTTCCTGATTAGTAACCTATAAAGTTACCTATATATATAAAATCTATATAGGTAACTTTATAGAAAACCTATATAACCTATATAAAATCTATATATATACACACAAAAACTAGTAATAAGGTGTTTAAAGTATTAATACTGTATTCCAATTACAACACAAAGTTATTAAAAGTAACCTGACATGGAATAAAGAACAAGATCAATGAAACTTAACTCAGCTTTCATGATCAGGTCTTTTTCCAAGTAGATTGACTTTGCTGAATTAAGAGAATAAATATAACAATGAAATGCAATGGATGAATCTTAAATATAGTCTTTAAATAAACTATGGAATTTATTTTGAGAAAGGGTCTCACCCTGCTGCCTAGGCTGAAGTGCAGCAGTGCAATCACGGCTCACTGCGGCCTCGACCTCCCAGGGCTCAGGTGATCCTCCCACCTCAGCCTCTAGAGTAGTTGGAACTATAGGCCCACCACACCTAGCTGACATTTTTCTACTGTTTTTTGTAGAGATGGGGCTTTGCCATGTTGTCCAGGCTGGTCTTGAACTCCTGGGCTCAAGTGATCCACCTGCCTTGGCTTCCCAAAGTCCTGGATTATAGGCGTGAACCACCATGCCCAGCCACTGAGTGTAATTAGAGCAAACTGTCTTGTCTGCAACTTACTTTGAAATGGTGCATACACAAAAAACATACATATAAAGCACATACGTCAAACTTTTAAAAAATGATGAAGCTGAGTGGTGCCTTATTTCCCCAATTTCTGAAGGTATATAATTTTCTTAATAAAAAATCAAGAAGAGAGAATGTGTTTTCCTACTCAGTTTCTTTACTTGAGCACTATTTTATTTAGTTTGTAATTCACTTGGCTTTGTGAAATAATTACCATAGACAAAAATACTGGACCACCAACATACAGGAAGCCGTTTTTATGTTTGTAGGATGTTGCCAATAAGACCAATTTCATAGTTTCAGAAAGTAGTCTATCACCATTGTAAAACAGGTCACAGAATCAAAGCAACTGAGTGAATAAGAATTTAAGACTTTAAAAATGATTCTTTAAAAATGCATGAAAAAACACTCTTCTTGGGTAACAGAGAACTCTCATATACTATTAAAAATTCTCATATTTTCCTGTTTTCTATAAATAACTCTTAATTCAAGCAAATCTGAAACAGGTTTAAGTATTTTAAAAAATGCCAAATATCCCAGTGAAACAACAGAAATAAAACCACGTCTTCTCTTACAAGCTGCACACTTGAAACCAAACCTGATCAAGGTAGCAACTGTAAGAGTTACTCATTTTAAAGGCAAATTAACAATTTAAGATGGCAGAAACAGGCATATGCATCAAGAAAATTCATCAATGTTCCCTTAAAAAACTATAGCCCCTGCAAACTCCTATATCCCTGTGGCAAGTTAATAGTAAATACTTTAGACTTTAGAAAGAAATACTTTAGACTTTAGGAGAAAAACCAAATACTTGGTAGATAAGTTGTCAATATTTCAAACTCCAATCTTAAAAGATGTTCAAAAAAAGCTCATTTCACTCTTTCAATATAAAGGGCAAATGTGATTTATTTTGCTCAGCTGAAGTAGAGAAAGAACTCTTTCCCTGTCCCTTCAAGCATGTACTTCCTTTCCTTGCTCCCCTTATTCCTCTCTTTAGTTACTAGATTTTTTTTGTTTTTGTTTTTGTTTTGAGACAGGGTCTTGCTCTGTCACCCAGGCTGGAACATAGTGTAGTGATGCGATCATGCCTAAGTTACTGTTTGATGCCAGATAGTTCAATCTATACTTCAGATGAACATTATCTAATATTTATTAGTTTAAAATAATGTATATAATTTAACCTTAGAGTTCTTTCATCCAAAAGAAAAGACTTGCTCTAGAGTTAGCTTGTAAAATTCTATTAGAGCCCAAGAGCCAGTCTTGCTTGAATAGAATTTCACACTCAGTTGTCTTCCTATACACCTGCACCTTTCCCACAAATCCTCACTCTCCCCTCTTAAGGTACCAGATTCTTAAGGGTTCAGAGTCTACCACAACAGTCCTTATCATAAGGGGCTTCCTTAAGTCAAACTTTTCCCAAATGTCTTTACTTCTCCTCGAAACAAGAATTACTCCTTGCTACTTTGAAACCCTGTTTGTTCTCTTAAGGGTCTCTTATAAAAATTCCCTCTATTCCAGCGTCAAAACCACTTATCTCTAGATTGCTGCCTTTCCTTATATCTCCCTTTTTAAACTCTGAAATCTTCTACTTGGGAGGCTGAGGCAAGAAAATTGTCTGAACCTGCAAGGCAGACATTGCAGCAAGCTGAGATCGTGCCACTGCACTCCAGCCTGGGTGATGGAGTGACTCCGTGTGGAAAACAAAAATTTCTTGGTTTGGTGTTATCCTGGGGAATTTAGAATTGTTTTAAAAAATAAAACTAATTTTGGAAAATTTAACCCACATCCAGTTTCAATAGTTTTTTTAAAATTTTTTAGTAAATAAGCAAATGACACATAAAAGTCTATAAATGGAGTTTTCTGTTTTTAACAAGGAAAACTGAAATTAGGCTCCAAAAGCTGTGATAGCCTGCCAAGTGTAACGAAGAGGGCACTAGGATGAGGAATGAGGAAATCTAAAGTCCTAGAAAATCCTTCCTCTGCCACTGGAAAAGTCAATAACAGAGTTGGCTTTGAAATAAAGATGTGTATCTCCCTATTTTATTATTCCCTTTTTCCTTCCATTTAAGAAATGTGCAGACTGAACCAAGTTTTAAGCTTTATGGTTTCTTATTTGTGGTAAGAAGATCCTGATGATAGGTAACATACCTAGAAGAAATTAAAGCAGTTGAGCAGCTGATCATTTACAAGAAGAGCTTTTATAGAAAAAGACAAATTGACCCCGTAGCTAGCATAATGACAAATGCTCATCAAGAACCTGACTAAATTACCTAGCATTATCTTCTTTATAAGATATACATATAAGGCCAGGCGCAGTGGCTCACATCTGTAATCCAAGCACTTTGGGAAGCTGAGGTGGGAGTTCAAGCACTTCGGCTCACCTGAGGTCAGGAGTTCAAGACCATCCTGGCCAACATGGTGAAACCCCATCTCTACTAAAAGTAC